ATAGGCAATTATAATATTTGCCTCAATATTTAGCCACTATAGGTAGGTTTTGTTGTAGTGATCAATAGATATTTAGGAACCACCATGAAAGTTTCAAAGAGAGCAGCGGCAAATTGGTTTTTGGCTGAATAGAAAAACCATAAAACAATGGCTATTTGGCTGGACGACATTTACTAATTAATGGATCATTACTAACCACCATGGGTATTTGGCTGAACGACAACACTTGCTAATCTCCTCAACAACAACAGTAAGTCAGGGGTTGGGTGAACGGCAGCATCGGCCGGTATTGGTATTTGGCTGTTGGGAAAGTTAGGGATTAGGGATTGCAAATGGAAATAGGAGTATAAACGTCAATGTAGTATGGTTTAGGGTAAATTTTTTATAATTTTAAGACGACGAATAGCGATTCAAATAAAGTACCCTTTTACTGTAAAAACACCACAACAAAAAAACATCTAAATATAGTTGCTGTGATATAAATGTTGAATTGTTGATGCAGCGTGCGTGGGTGAGGGTAGAGGTTCAGGTCTGCTCGAGGCGCCGGGTGGTGCTTTTAAATTGCTAACGCCACGTCGGGCTAATTGTCTCTCGACCTGTGTTGCCCGTTGTTGTGCTTCCGCGACGTTCACTGGATCAAACATATTCAGTACGTCCTGCAGCTGTAGGCGCAGCCCACCAATATATCGGGAGACCAGTTGTAGAGGAGACTCATTAGTATCGACCCACGCCAGGAAAGAGTAGAATTCCGTCGAATATTCGTCTACCTTGTGAGTACCCTGGCGAAGATTCTGGAATCGCTGGTATAATTCCCGATCAAAATTATAAGGCAAAAATGCTGCCCTCAAGTGCTTCCTGAACTTGCTCCAGCACGTAATCTTTGCCTTGCCTTGTCGTGTTCTGGTGAGTTTCAACTGCTGCCACCATGCCTGTCCGCGGCCGTGTAATCGGATCGTGACCAAAGAAACGCGCCGATCATCGGGAACTTCTTTGAAGTCCAGAATTTCCTCAACCTGAGATAGCCAGTTGATTACTTCCTCCGGCTTCATGTTGCCATCGAACTGGGGAATTTCTACCCTAAAGCCCTGTTCCCACCGGTGGTTAGGGCGTTCAGGTGACTGATTCCGCAGTCTAGTGAAGGGGTTTTCGTCGATGATAATAACGTCATCATATTGGCGTTGCATCCGTACGGCTTCGTCCATTCGCTGTGTCAAAATCTACACCTGGGCGTCGCAGCTCGTCGTTGTCGCGGCAAACTTCGGCATTCTCACGTCGCAAATCAGCAAAGTCAGCATCCTTCGCGGTCGCAGCTCACGCCGTTCTGTGGGACGGCATCCCTCAAGATCAACCGGGCTCTCGATACCAATCTGACGCAGCTTGCGTGGGTGAGGGTAGAGTTTTACCGTAGCTCGTTGATTCCACGAATACCCGAGAGAGACGATATTTGCGAGGAACAAACTCCTCTTTTCTTATTTTATTCCAAATCCGAAAAACTACCTCCAAACACAAAGACAGACCGCCTTTATAGAGAAGGCTAACAAGAATCCTAGTCCAACGTAAACAAAGAAAAGGTACCGACGAAAATCGAAAAATTACGTAATGGTCGTCAATAATAAAAAAAAGACAAAACAAACTTGTTACGTTGCATGGCTGCCGTTCCCATTATGGACGTCCTCGACGTCCTCATCAATTGTTGATGAAGGCGGCAAGCGGTCGTCACAGGTGAGCCTGTTGTTGAAGTTGGTCCTGTCAGTCAATAATAACATTTCCATCAGAAAACGTGAAGGATTTTTTTCTACTTTGGTTGTTGATAGGGGCCAAGGAAGCAGAACGCATATTAGAGAAATTTTACTTACTTCGGACACAAACAACGCATGGAATCCATTCGGAACCCTGTTGGGCAATTCAATAACTGCGACAGGATCAGCAGACATGGTCTTGGCATTTACAACAATTGTTGACGACTTTCTGCATAATATATATCACAGGGGGTTCACACTTACACTTACACAGTGAGAGACGAGAAGGACGGAAATGAATTTCGGTTAATTTGGGGCTTACCCGGTCAATTCATCGTGCATAAAGCATATCAGGTAGCCATCATCTTCCTCAGAAGTGACCCCAGGCACCCTAGGAACAAATACTGCTTCTGAACCATATCGTCCAGGTCCCAGCTCGAATATGCCTTGAACATTTCCTCCAACTTCAAGATTAGTCTTTCCCTGCTCCGGTTTCGCGTAAAGATCGAACTTGATGATCCCTGTGATCTTGGCAAAGCTGTTGATGGCTCCATACACATATCTCTGTTTCCTGCCAGTGTAGCTCTCATTTATCCTGGGGAAATCGACAGCTGATGCAGCCAGTTTCCTCTGTGAAGCAAGTCCGCTTTTCATGTTGAATCTCATCTCATGCCTGCTTGCAGCCAAAACAAGCAAACATTGAAAAAGCAGACGACTTGGAGCTTTCCAGGAGAATCATGAGATGAGAGCATGTCACTGAATTATTCTTACAGCTCGGTTGTGAAACTGTCAACTTTTTCTTTCGTACTGCTATTCATCATGTCCAAATCCATGTTTCCAATACGGCAAGTGATGAGCACAATATCATCTCCTTCCTCCCAAGCATTGGCTAGTCAATAAGAGAGAGATAGTAAACTGAGGCAGAGACAGACTAGAGAAGATAATGAGCCAAAGTGCACCATGGAAACCTCATCAGCGGTTTAAAAGAGTTGGCATACATACCATTATGGAATATAAAGCAGTTTGGCAGCTCAAACCATCTAATCAGAAGTTCATCCTTGGCATATCTTGGGAGAATCCCGAAGCGAGAACTTTTCATAGCATCGAAATGTAAAATGAAGCCCCTTTCTGTCAGCAGTCTCTGGTGGAAAAGCAAAATTGTATGCGATTTTAGCTGTCTAGCTACTTCAGTGCTCTCTTCCGAGGCAGCAAACCAAAAGAAATGAGTGTACCTTTGGTCGGAAACACAAAGGAAGATCCATAAAAATTGCATAATTCTCAGTGATAGCGAAGTCATGCATCATGATGGGCTCTGGTATGGTTATTGGTACAGGATCGTGCATGAAACCATCTTTTGAAATGACTCTGTAGGTGATATATGGTGGCTCAGTTGCATAGCCGAAAGCGAACATTTCTCCTGTATTTAGCAGGACATTGAGTGAGAAAAGGCTTTCCTTTCAAAAAAAAGTCAGTTAAGCAGGATGTCACCTGTGAATGGATCTACTTTGGGATGAGCAGTGAAAGCGTGTCCGAGTCTCTTGTCATAATCTAGCAAACCAAGGGTTTGCAGATCTCCATCTTCCATGACTTGAACCACATCTGCAGCATGCAATAAGTGAGATTGTCAACCCTACCGAAGAAAAAGAGAGCATCAAATAAATGGTTCTCCCAAGGAAGTCATTTGCTTTTCATCCAGTAAATATCAAAGGCAGACTGAACATGAAGCTTACAGGGTTTATCAGCCTCTTGAAGGGCCAGGAGCCTGCCATGGTGATAAACCAGAGCTGTATTAGCTGGAAGAGGGTATAAGAGAAGGTTAGTTCCGTTGTATTGCATGAATAATAAAGCATCAAGTATGAAACTCAAACCTGTAAGCCACAAGAGCATAATGTGCCATGACTGTGAAGAAACTTACCAGTCCCAAGTCCATACGACATGTCCAAGACTTTCAACTTCTCTCTCAGCATACGCAAGCCATAGGCGAACAGGCCAAAATAACCTTTAAGGTCACCTAACTGCAATTAAATAAAACACACGTATGATTGGCTTGCAACTGGTAGCTAAGCATGAAGGGACAACAGACCAAGACAAGATCCCACCTTGAGAAATTTGGCACCTCCATAAAACTCTTCCTGTTTGAGATGTGATGTCTTCACGTAGCGGCAAACATATGTTGCCTTTCCATCTTTGATGCGCAACCCATGAATCATTCTGCAAATTTATCCGCAGAACAAAAATCAGGGGGTGGGGTTGGGGATCTCATAAAACCCGTATGAGCATAACAGCTACTCATCTTCACAACATACCCATCCCCATCAAACCTGCACCAGACAGTAAAGAAAGAGTTAGGTAATCATATAATCTCTGTAGAAGACAATGCCTCAGAAGCATATGAACAGAAGTACAAAGCAAAAGATACGCATGCTGCAGCTAGAAGAAGACATACCAATGGTAGCCAGCTATAGGGGGGAACTTGGGATTAGGGCCAACCCTTACAAATTCGCCATTGAGGCAATCCTAAAGCATCAAAAGGGACATCAGTATTCAGAGAAACACGAAAAGAGAGGAGGGCAAGTTCAGAGTTGCGCCATGGGTCTGTTTTCATGTTCAAAATGTTAAAACTCTCAAGGCCAGTGAGGAGTGAACACAACAAGCAGAAGCAATTACTGATCTTCTCTACTTCACACAAATGCGAACTAAAAATCTCTAGCTTCATGTTCACGGTTCAAAATATAGAGGGAACTCTGCATGTTCCCAAATGGCGGCCACTTCATCCAGATTCTCAATGATCAACGTTGTTCTGGTCAAGTTAAAGCTAGTCCCAAAACCAACGGGGTGGAGGAATTAGATAAACAATAATTGATAACATCAAAGACTAGGGAGACAGCAGACACCGTAAGCGGAATCATTAGTTAGAAAACAGCGACTTATTCTAAATTAGAGGCTCACAGGGAGGTTTCCTTTAACGGGAAGATCAGCGGCAGGAGGCGTCTCATCGAGGACGGGAGCGAAAAGGCCGGCGAGGTAGTGAAGAGGCTGAGGCGAATCGTGGGCGAGCTTCACCGCCAATTTCTCCGCCAAGTCGATGGCTGTGGAAGCCAATCCGCTTCGGGGCTTAGGATTAACCTCCACTATCGCCGGGCCGCCTTGTCGATCATTCTTCTTCTCTGCCCCATCTTCCGACTGCTTCCCCATTCCACTTTGAGTGAAGACGACTGCTAGAGCCAGTGATGTAGCAATACCAGCAAGGAAGAGAGGATTTTCTGTTCTTAAAAAAAAAAAAAAAAGCCATTCCCATATAGCTACTCTGTTCATAAAAGGACAAGTTATCTAGAGCAGGGGCGGAGCTAGTTGGGCTCCGGCGCCTCGGCGGCACCGGCCTCGTTCGCCATTTTGGAGCTAGTTAAACTTCGGTGAATTTTGGCAAATTACTATAAATTAAATACTGCATTTGAAACGTGAGATCGTTTATGTCTTATTGGTGAAGTTGTTCAGCTCCACCAACCCGGGTTCCGCATTTTCCCCCAAACACACATAAAATAAAATAAAAATTCTAAACTACCACATTTATAATTTTTTTTTTCCAAAATACCTAAGTTTGGAGTGATGGAGTGATTCGTGTTTAGGAACCCGAACTACTAACTGGTTCGAGTGTAGTAGACTCGATCTAGACGTAGATCGATGATGTAAGTCTCGAACCATGTGGAGCTGAAGTGGTTCGAGTTTAGTGAACTCGAACTACTCGTTTGAAATTTCCAACAACCTTAACTTTGTGCTCGGTTATCCGATCATAGCAATATTTTTTTTTTCATTTCGCACGTAACTTTTCGAGGACTACAACTTTTATAATAGAAATATTTTCAGAATATATATGGAAATGTGAAAATTAAAATTAAAGTTATTCCCAAAACCCCTTATATTAAAAAATATTCCTTTTTTGAAAATTTATTCCTAGTAAATGTTGTAGTACTAAAAAATTTATTCAAAATAAAAAAAAACTTTGCGACGTTTGGATTGCGGAGCATAAAGTTATGATCCTCCAAAGTTTGACAAATTCGAAAATTTGCTTGTTTATGGGTAGCAAATGACGTTTTCTCGGAAGATGGCCATCCAAAAATTGCTCGTTTGGAAAAATATTGCTCATTTGGCAGAAATTCCCTATGCATAAAAAAAATTCTCGTGCCTTTGCCCCGAGAAAATGCCATTTGTTACCCCTAAACGAGCAATTTTCGAGTTTGCCATACTTTGAAGGATCGTAACTTTGTCCTTCGCAATCCGAATTTGTTGTTGATTAACTTGCTTCATTAAGACACTCATTATCCTTGAGAGAGCAGATTTTTCGATTCACCTTGCGACAATTTCAGGTACTAATTGAACTTTGATCAGATTGGGATCGAAATTGCCAGATTCATTAACGATATAGTTAGCGCATCCTTTAAGCATTATGCTTAAAAAGAGCATTAAAAACAAGATAACTCTTGTAAGATAGTATAATGGTAATGAGATAGCATCCAACAACTGTATGTGCGAGATCTTTCATCCTCTCGTTACATTACCCAGGTACAATTTCCTTGTACTACATCTTAACCCATCTCTCAAAGACATAACATTATGATGTGTCTAATTTCAGTATGATCCACTCTCCCCTTGATTTCGTTCCCCCCTCTCTTGATTCACTGCTTATTCAGTAACTTACAGCTTTGCTTGTTCTTGAAGTTGGTCCTGTACATAAAATGATAATCATTCAAGTTTCCGGTGGAACCGAAACCAAGATGCAGATTCTCCATCAAGATGTGCTGCTCGGAAAATCGAAAGGCAGAGGATGAAAGAGTTCAATTAAAATTCGCTTGGAGTCCTTAATGATTACCTCTGTGACAAACAAGGCATGGAATCCATAGGGAACTCTATGGGGCAATTCCACAACTGCAACTGGATCCGATGACATGGTTTTCGCATCAATAACAATCACAGCTGATTTTCTGCATGTCAAAGACCAAATAGGAGTGATGTAAAGTCTCCAGAGTTCGCATTCTCCAATGGCAGATGCTGAACTTCAAATGAATTAGCATGCAGAAAAAGTGAAAGGTATGAAGAACTAATCATATGAGCGCAAATACTAAGGTTACCCGGTAGTTTCGTCATGGGAAAAGAATATCAAGTAGCCATCATCTTCCTCACAAGTGATGCCAGGCTCCCTAGGAACAAATACTGCTTCTGAACCAAACCTACCCGGTCCGAGGTCAAAGATGCCTACAATGTTTCCTCCAACTTCCAGCTTTGTTTTCTCTGGCTGGGGTTCATTCAGAAGATCAACTTTGATGATTCCCGTGACCTTTGCGATGCTATCTAGAGTGGTACCATACACGAATCTCTGTTTCCTAGACAAAACCAGGGGGGGAAATAGAGTTCCAAACTTGATGAGCATTTGTGGTGAGAAGATATGAACTACTTATGCAACAATATAACGACATACCTGCCAGTGTAACTCTCGTTGATCCTGGGGAAGTCAACAGCAGATGCTGATAGTTTCTTCTGTGAAGCCACCCCAGTTTTCATGTCGAACCTCATTTCATATCTGTTTAGGAAAGCAAAAGTTAACAACAAGATAGGACAAGGGCCTGACACAGGAAGGAAAGAACTAAGTCACATTTTGCCTACAGTTCATTTGAAAAGTTCTCAAGCTTTTCCTTGACAGTTCCATTAACCATATCCAAGTCTGGATTTTCAAGGCGGCAAGTAATCAAAACAACTTCATCCCCTTCCTCCCAAGCGTTGGCTGCTCATGGAAGATAACGCATAAAAATCAGATGACTGCATAGGGCGGAGACAACCTCTAAAATGACGCAAGTAAAAACTAAAGAATCCATGAAGGACCTTCATTTCAGGTTTCGTTTCTGTTCAAAGGAGCAATCATTGACACAAAGTAATGCCAGGACTAGCCAACCATAATTAAAGCAATTTTGAACAGTGCTCCAACATCCAAAGCGAAGTTAAGTAGGTGGCGCACCATTGTGAAATATGAAGCAATTAGGAAGCTCAAACCATTTGATCAAAAGGTCATCCTTTGCATATCGAGGCAGGACACCAAAACGAGCCTTTTTGGTTGCATCAAAAGCAAAAATGAACTTCTTTTCTTTCACCATTTCCTGAAAGAACATAATAAACATATTGCTTTCAGTTATCTGAACAGCTTCTTGCTAATTAAACAAATACATCCAAAGCTAACCTTGACAAAGTACTCATCCTTGATACAAATAAGACAATAACAAGAAATTAACATTTACCTTTGGTCTGAAGTACAGAGGAAGATCCATAAAGATTGCATAATTCTCTGTAATTGCAAAGTCATGCATCATGATAGACTCTGATATTGTTATTGGTACAGGTTCATGCATGATACCATCCTTTGAAATTACTCGATATGTGACATATGGTGGCTCATGCGAATATCCAAAGGTGAACATTTCTCCTGCATGCATCGCACCGGATCACACTTGTCAATACCGTTTGGTTGATAAGATTGAAGTATTTTAGCTTTGAAGGACGAGTGCTACCTGTGAATGGATCAACCTTTGGGTGAGCAGTGAAAGAATGTTTGAGCCTCTTGTCATAGTCAAGCAAGCCGACAGTCTGCAGATCCCCATCTTCCATTATTTTAACCACATCTGCAAGATGGAATCTTCATTTAGTTACAGCTTCAGAATTACAGAGGCGACAATGCAGAACTGGGCTGATCAAGAATGTGTTAAGATACAGATAGGGTGCCACAGACTTACAGGGTTTATCGCCTTCTTGAAGTGCTAGGAGCTTCCCGTGGTGATAAATAAGAGCAGTATTAGCTGTAAGGTTGATACAAGGAATTAGTCCTTTCAAAGAATTATTTTGTGCCAAAGTTATTAGATGGGAGCTCCTTTGAAGCAGTCTGAAATGAAGACTTGTGACATTAGATGCAGAACATTTCAGGTTCCAAACTCTTCGAAGGAGAGAAAATGAGGGGGCATATTAATATTCCGGCTGCGGAAGAGTTAAACTTATGATGCTACCTGAGCACTTCATGTTCACCAAGTCATAGACTGCCGCAGTAAAAAAGAAAATGGTCCAACACCTCTAGACTATACCACAATGAAGCATATTCATGAAACGACTTAACGTCATCAAGCTAAGAATCTAATAGGAAATGTTCATTTTTTGCATTGAAGAAAGGTAGGAAACCTACCTGTCCCGTTTCCATATGTCAAATCCAATATTTTCAATTTCGCTCTCAAGGACTGTATGTTAACCATAAACAATCCAAAAAACCCCTTGAGATCCCCAATCTGCAAAACAGAATTCCAAAAGTATCGAGTTAAAGAAACTCCACTGGCTTAGGCAAGAAGGCAACCAGAATTAAATAAAATGTTAAAAGACGAAATGTTAACAAAAGAAGAGAAACTAAGCCAACTTCATCACTTCTAACTTGGGGGAAATTTCATTTTAAGTTATTCGTTAATCACACCATCACAATGAAAGGTAATGGAATGTTGATAAGGGGACAACCAAACACCAAACTACAGAAAAAACGCATTGCCATAAACCATTACCTTCATGAATTTGGGACCTCCATAAAATTGTTCTTGCTGAAGGCGTGATGTTTTGACATAACGGCTGACATATGTTGCCTTTCCATTTTTTATACGCATACCATGGATCATTCTGTACATGGAATAGATCATATAAGCATATAATACATATCTATCTGTCAAACCATATGCAAAGTACATGAAGAATATTGAATTCATCAAAAGAAACTGCAACGGGAGCGTACCCATCTCCATCGAACCTGCAAAAATAGACAGAAAATCAATGACAATCATTCGGATGGAGTGAATATCAAAGAGAATTCGCTCCCAGAAATCCTATGAAGGCATCAAAACAAATAAGAACGACATACCAGTGGTATCCAGCAACGGGTGAAAACTTAGGATTTGGACCCACTCTCACAAACTCCCCATTCAAGCATTCCTGTCATGCCAACCAACAGAAACCAAGTGGAAACAAGTGTCAAATTGGAAAATTCCATCCTCCTCTAAACAACAACGCAGCAGTCGATCGTTTCCAGGAAAACTTTTAAAGTCACAACTTAACAAGTAGCTCGGTTGCTTGCTTGAGCACCAATCAAGGAACTAAAACACAGAGATGGCTCCCAATTTTAGCTGGGAAAAACAATTTCGCTACTGAATAATCTCGATGGCGATATTGTAGCAACTCATCAAGTAGCCACTTCTAAGTTCAAATCAACATAAGCAGTACCATTTAATCAGCAGAGCTATAAAGGATGATGGGTGCGGAATCAAAGCCATCGATGTAGACCGGAAGCAGATTACTTACCGGCAGATAGCCTTTGACGGGAAGGTCTTTGGCTGGGGGAGACTCGTCAGCTGGAGCGAAATTGCCGGAGAGATAGTGAAGAGGCAGAGAGGAGTCGTAGCCGAATTTCACGATCAACTTCTCCAGGAAATCGACTAGCCTTGAGGGAAACCCAGTTTTGGGCTTGGGATTCACGGCGACGATACCGGTACCGCCGTTGTTGCCATGCTTCTTCTCCTCCGCCCGCTCCTGCATTTTCTCCGCCATTTCTTTGTCCGCTTCCACTTTTGTTCACTGCTGCAGAAATGAGTGGAGAGAGTGCCAAGACATGGTGGGGTTTATATTTCTGCCGTCTGCTGGAGACTGGAGGATGCTCCGCCACGTGTCACGCGGACGAATTGCGGATTTCGTGGGCGTCCTGGAATTAGCGCTGGAAGTTGATACCAATATACCGATCAAGCAAGTGGGTTGTGGTTAGTGCTCGAAGTTTGGTACCGATATTTGAGATATAACGAATACAGTATTGAATTTGTTTATATTTGGTATTATTGAATATATTATTATTTGGTATTATTGAATATATTATTTTTTGGGATTGAGATTGAGATTAATTTTAATTGTAATTGGTATTAGGAATTACGAGATTGGGATCGGTATATACCGAACTATCGATCAATACCGAAATATAAGCTAGTGTGTATTTTATCCTCTCAACTAGACTTTCTCATTCACTACTATACGGCCATCGACCACCAAGAGTGTCATTTAATTATTCATAGATCATTCGATCTCTATTTCACAACTTAGAAATACCCATCCAACTCAAATTTGACTTTCCAATTTAAGTAACTCTCGTCTCTCACGTAATCACTTGTTATTTTCATAACACCAAAAAGCAAACACTAGTATTAGTCATCTCTCGGCCTCCAATTCGTCAAATCAAAGATTACCAATGACAAGAACTTGAGATGCCACCTCTCCTCCATTCTCCCTATCCATATCCTAGCTCTAGGCAAACTCAAGACTCTTTGCTTAGTCTCTTTTCCCTAAATTAAAGAATCAAATCTAATTTATATATTTAATTGTCAATTGCAAAGGTAATTAATTTCATGTTTGATAATACCGATTGAGATATCGAAGTACCGATTGGGGATAACGAAATATTGAGGGATTGAGATTGGGATACCGAAATTATTTAGGGATTGGAATTGGAATTGATAGGTGTAATTCGATATTCGAGATTTTGGTATTTGGTATTGGGATATGGATACCGTACCGATTTCCACCCCTAGTGTTGGTTGATGGTGTGGTCACTTTAGTACAGTTTAGCTTGGATATATAAAAAAATATTATTATATTGTTAATATATTTAAAATTGTATAAAATCTTATCTTACATATGAATAATAACATATAATAGAAGTGGCTAGCATGCTAACACTTTTTTTGTTAGCATGGTGCTAACACTTGCTCCATTCAATACGAACATTTCGTTTGGATGTCTTTTCCATTTAAATGAGTTGACCAAAATTAATGAGGAGAAGTGAAAAGAGGGGCACGATTGGTATTATGAAAAATTGGGGACGAGGATGAGGAACCAGTCATCCTTTTTGCATTAAATGGAAGGAAGAGAGGGGTGCCACTGAAGCATGTCAGGACCTCCTCAAAGCATGTCAGAACCTCAAAGCATGTCAGAACCACAAAACATGCCAAAACCTTAAAGCATGTCAGAACCTCAAAGTAGGCCAGAACCTCAATGCATGCCAGAAGTTTTTCAAAGCTTACCAGGAGTTTCTTAGCAGTGAAACTGTTTGCAATTTTGAAAAAGTTTAGGTACCAAAATGTAAGGGGGAAAATTAGGTACTAAAATGTATGAGCTGACCCAACAACTAAAGATAGCATCAATGGAGCCAAAGAATGGACTGGTTTCATCCTTGTTTGTTTGTGAAGTATGTGGAGAAGAAGGTCATGAAGGATTCGACTACTATAGCCAAGAAGGGCGAGGACATGCATATGTCAATTACATAAATCAAGGCTATCAATTGAGATCTCAACAAGGGAGTTATCCTCCTTATCAAAGATTCAACCAACCTCGCATACTGTATGGTCAACGACCTGCTAAAGGAGGGAATAAGCCCAAGGACTACCCCAGAATCACCTCTTCCAATGGAACCTATGTTCATGAAGCACAATGGCTGAAGAAGTAAGATTCACCATGATTAGGCAATCCACCTCAATGCAAGATGCAAGGAGAAGGTATCTCCAATCAGCAACCTACCATATTTGAGAAGCTGAGGCAACAGTGATAGGACTGCAAACGAACTACAAGAATATCAAAAGGCAACTTGGACTCCTCATTGATGCCCAACCTCAAAATCCTCAAAGCAAACTCCCGAGCAACACAGAGAATAATCCAAATAAGGAGAAGTCAATGTCATCTCGACAAGGATGGGAGCATCCAGAGTTTTCTGAGCATGAAAAAGGAAGAAGATAAGAAATGAGTTGAGAATCCATCAAACTTCATGAATCTGATAGAATCTTTTGGAGAAGCAGAAGTGACAGTGGCAATATTGGAGAAGATGATTTCCAAGGAGAATCTTAAAGGGAAGCTCGAGATTTTCATGGAGAAAGATGACAGGGTTGAAGATAAGGATACCAAAATCAAGAAAACCTTTGGGGTTACAAAGAATTCATCCTAGTTAATGAAGTAAAGAAAGATCTCATGCACATCGTCATCAAATGTCTTATGGATGATCATCAAGTGGAAAAAGGTGTAGTTGAACTTGGCTCAAGTGTCAACATTCTACCACTACATAAATATGAAGAGGTGGGATTAGTCAATATGGAGTACGTCAACATAGAAATCGCGCTAGCCAACAGTACCCCTTACTGAGCTCTTGGAGTTTTCCTAGGTTTAAGCACCCAAGTTGGCCTATTCATTTTATTCCTCGACTACCTTGTGATCGACATGAAGACAAGCAAAGAGTATTCGACCCACTTAAGAAGACCATTCCTTGCCACTGATGGAGAACTAATTGATGATGTCAACGGAGAAGTAACCCTACATGCATGAAAGTTCTTGTACAAAGTAGACAGGCAAATAAAAAGAAGTGACAAAATCGAGGAGTATCCAGACAATGAGATCAAATTTTCATTTGGCTCTCATCTTGGGGATTCGGCAAATATAATACTTCATCACCATGACCAAGAACCAAAGTATAGAGGAGAGTTGAACAAGGTTTCCCCAATTCTTGTTCTGAAGATAGCTCAAATGGCACTAAGGATAGCCAGTACAAGACCAAAGATGATGCTAGAGAGGATCGAGGAGCTGGAGTACAAGACACCAGAGGATTATCAGGAGTTCATCAATTGTCATTAACCTAATGGATTCAAATATGTCAAATCCTTGCAACGGGATGCAAAGATGAAGATGAAGTGAAACCTGACAGTGAAATCAATAATAAGGGCACCTCCCTGAGTCTAGCTCAAAGGCATAAAAGAGAGTGATCCATGGGAAACAGCCCATGTCTAGTGTCAAACTTAATTACTTTAAATAAAAGTGCTACTACGGAGAAAGCACGAATTTCTCTTTCCTATATTAATTTTTAAATTTTGAAGCTTGTTTTTTGCTTGAAATTTTGAGTTACTCATTGGAGGAAAACATTGCATCCATTGGATAGGTGTTACATTCGGCGAATTTTTTTGATCTTATGATGAGAATGGAAGATTTAAAATGTGAAAAATCGTATGAAAGCAGCTTTCGTACTATCGAGGTAAGTGTTCTGACGTGAAAATGCTGAAAACCATAGTAGAACACGAAGGGAAGTTGCGGCGGCCACCTTTGCCCGTACCTCCACCGCTGCCCTAGCCACTATTAAAGGCCATTTTTTGGCCACCAATACCACACACCCCTCAATTTTCACTTTCCCTTCTTTCTTTCAGCCGAAAATCCTCTCCCTTCTCTCTAGGATTCAATTTTTCTCTGACTCGTTCTAACTACAACATCTCAATCGACAGTCAAGTATAACCGGCGACTGGATGTAACATAGGGCAAGCAAGCAATAAGAATTTATCGTCCCACGTGGATCTAGGCTTACCCTACTTCAGGTTAGAGTTCGTTATCTAGCCAACCTAGGGTAGTGATTAATAAAACTAAGTTAACTAACCTAGACTAACCACTAGCCTAGCTATTTACAAGGTTTGGAGCTCTCTTGGGTTAAATCCCCCTATTTCCGACCTTTGGATCGATGTTGAGTACCATCCTAGCTCGATCGACCTACTATTCTATCGTTAGGAGATGAACACCCTTGGGACTGACCCGGAATGGTGATGATGGATGAGTGGTGCTCTATTCAACCTAGGGCACCCCTATATCGTAGGAGATCAATCCAATTGACTCCCTCGGGGATTACCGGACGATATGGGGTGAGGAGTTTTTTCCCTCCTAGGTCAAAAGCTCGATTGACTCAATTACTCTACCGTTAGGAGATGGACTCCCTTGGGAATGACCCGTAATGACGAATCGATGAATGTGGTAGGCTATATTCAACCTAGAGCAACCTTATATCATAGGAGATTGATGGAATCGACTCCCTCGGGGATTACCCGAACGATACAGGGTGAGGAGTGACCAAAAGACACCATTAATGGGCTCTAAGGTGATTTTCTCCCTCCTAGGTCAAAAGCTCAATACATGAAAATGGAAACCCAACTCATGTCATTCCTGAAAACATCCATCAATTAAGTAAAATCATTAATCAAACATGGGATGTGTCACAAACATCAACATTAAACTCAAATCTAGACCTAGGGTTCTTAAACAAGAGAAGAGGGTGAGTTTCTAGAGAGAGAAGAGAGAGATTACAAATTGGAGCCCAAGATATTCTTCTAGGCTTGAATCTTTGTTTCCAAGCTTGATCAATGACTTCAATTAAGCTCCAAGATCACTCAAGAACTCACACACACACTCTCTCTCTCTCTCTCTCTCTAGAACTCCCCTTTGATGTTTTGGGTCAAAACCCTAGAGAAAGAAACAAATTCCTCTCCAAAAACCAGCTCCCTCTTTTTCTTCCTTCTGCTGCTGCCTTTTATACCCAGATCGAAGGTTGTTCACGGTCTGAGTTCACGGCCGTGAACTCAAAGCCTGGACCATGAACTTGAACCAATTCGCGCTGTTTCACTACAACACATCACGGTCTGGAGCTGAAGTTCACGGTCTTACGATCGTGAACTGACTTGGCGTCAGTAGCCTCTGAAATCCCCTGGACGCCCTTTTGTTCACGGTTTGTGGTTCCAGTTCACGGTCCTGGCGAGCGTGAACTCGTTGTTTGGACCGTGAACTGTGGCTGCTTTCTTGGGCACCCCTACTTCACGGTTACGGGGCAATTGTCACGGTCTAGCGACTTTGGACA